ACTACGAATTTTAGTCTCACAACGATATTCTTTAATAATACTCATACTAGCATTAAATATATTATTAGCATTATGAGAAAAATCAATTATTTTAAAATCAATAATTTTGTTATTCATTACCTATGATGGGTCTATATAGCGAGCAGTTGTAGCTTTGTAGCTTTTTTATTAATACATCCCATAAGTCAGATGTAAAAGATATCACACCACCATGTTTTTGTAAACCACGTATTTGTTTCATTTTGTTCTAATGAAATAATCAATGTAATTAGCATGAAGAGTGTTTCCACGTAGCAATATACCTTGGTTGAAGATATTCTTTTACGAATTGGTGAAATGTTTGCTTAACAACTACTCAGCACCATTACGAACTTGACAATTACTCAAGGAATTTTTCTCCTAAGTACACAAATGTGCTTAGTGTACTAGAACTTGTACCTGGAGAAGATAACCAAATTGGAGTTGAGTCTGTGTATGGCCCATAGCTCAATGTTTGGCTGAACATTTCTTGTAATAGATTAGTCTAAGTGTACATAATCCATTACATAATGGATTACACCCCCCTCACATGGAGGGGGGCCCACACACAATAAAATATTTGTGGGTCCCCCTCCATGTGAGGGGGTGTAATCCATTAGGTAATGGATTGTGTGTACATCTAGCACAACCCTTCTTGTACTATCTATTTAGATGGATAGTTTCGATACCTTTTAGTCATGTCAATTTAACTTTACAGTAGATACATATTGCTTTGAATTCTTGCTTTTCATCAACTTGACGACCTGTAGACACCACTTTGAAGTGTTCCTAATATTTGGCAGTTTGTTTTGTTTTTCGAATTGCACCTACTACATGTAGTTCTTTTTCTTCATCAATATTATCCAAATCAATTGGATAGTACTCCCATACAAATAATAGTACAATGAATCCTCGTTTTGTGCAAATGTAGAATGAAAATCGAGATGAAGACTTCGTGGACATAAGCCAACTTAGGAATTAGACTTCGTGGACATAATGTCTTTACAAAAAGCTGGAGTTTTTTTTTTTTGTGATGTGTGCAGTGAATGGGAGAAATTAGATTTTCAGTTTTTTTTTTTTTTTTTTTTTTGTTATTTAGGTATTGGATATTAGTGAATATTGTTGTTTTCATTAGTATTGCTCTAATGTATTTGATTTTCCATGTAATATTGTATAAAGATGTGTTCTACTATAATATGAAGTTCAAGTCTTCTGATTTTTTGTTGTGTTCATTCTGAATTTTATGTGTGTTGAGGAAGAACATTAACATGTTTTTTTGGTCAAATGCTTGAGCAAATCAATCCTGGAATTAGTCAACTTTGCGATCCCAGAAATACTCAAACTTTGCGGAATACAATCCTGAAATTTATAAATTTTGCGCAATACAACTCTAAAAGTGGCAAACTTAGTGCAATAAATCTTAAATAAGACCTTAACTAACAAAAAGCAAAAATCAGCAAAAGAAAATAGCATAATACAAACCTTAATAGTAGCAAAATAAGTCAGGAATATTCTCGTAAGCAGTAGAATAAACCAGCAGAACTTAAAACTTAACACATCAAACAAAACCAGCAGTGATGACATTTATCCTCCATGTCAGTAACAGGGTGGTTGAATGTATCCATTAATTTACAGTATCACTTGCCGAAGTTCTTCAGCATCCTCACTTGTCAAACTTCTTAATTCATTAACTCCTCAAAATCCCCAACTGTATGAAGAAAAATAATCAACATTATCAACAACCAATTTATTTTATAAACTCACATCACTCATCAACTTATTTGTCCAAAAACCAAACTTAAATGATGATAATTCAACTTATGCGAAATTCTCAATAGAATGGCGTGCAGACCTTTCTCGAGTTAAATAGGTTAAATTTATTATTTATTTTGGATTTTTTTGTTGAATCGTGGAATTTCTTCAGTTCAAATTGACTATTAGTTTCTCTCAATTGGTTTTTCAAACAAAAGTGACCTTAAATCAGTGTAAGGATCCGAAGAAACTATAATACCAATTGAAGTTTTGTTGATTTTTGCCATCTTTACTGTTTTTAACATCTAAATTAACAAATATAGACGACATTGAATATTCCACCCACAACGTTTGAATGATTCTAGGTGGATTTCACACCAAATGAAAAGTTAATGAAATATTCCACATAACGTGCAAATGTTAGGGTGCAATCCAATTGCTCTTAAAAATTTTTAAGGTCAAATTCATCATAAATGACTGTTAGCGAGCAGAACTTTCTCAAAATTCAACACTCGATACTTATACATATAGCATAATTATTTGACTAAATAATATTTCTTTATTAAATAAAATCTATAAGATTAAAAATTTTAATTTCATGGCACAATTTTTTAGTATACATTAATAGATATAAAACATCGTAAACACAAAAAGCCCTTTAAAACACACTTGCATACAAAAACAATATGAGTTATATTTTGTTTCTTTGAGCTCTCTTTGTATATGTAAAAATGCCTGCCTCAACTAGCTGCCGAGAGTCCAACACATTGGTGCGCAAACTCTCAAACTTAAAGTAGACATGGTCCTCAATATCTTAAAATATAATCTAGCAACATAAAGGTGTAGGGAAGAAAGAAAGAAAGTACTCCACGAATTTTTGTCTGATATTAGATGTAAGTTTGTAGGATCCGTTCATTCCATTCTTCAAATTGTTAAGCATGCCTCCCATTCAATATCCTTGTACATTTAAAAGATGAAAGAAAATAAATATAAATCTCAAAAAATTAATTTAAAAGCTAAAATGTGACGTGTATGATAACCATTTTTTTTACGCCCATGAAGGTTTGAAAAAATTTGTCACAAGCTCTTTTTCTATTGTTTTCCAGTGAAATAAAATCTTTATTTTTTAAGGCTAAATGTAGATATGATGACCATTTTATTTGAATAAAATTATGCCTAAAATTAATGCAGTGTAATGCAAATATACAAAACATAATAAGAGCATGTTCGACCTCATTGTTTGTTAAGAATACATTTTAGAGTAGTAAATTGATGGAGAATGTGTGAATAACAAAGAAGGAAAAATTTTGAGTTTACCTTTAATATTATTTTATTGAAATATGTGTATTTGAAAAGTAGAGAGAAAAATATTTTTTGAAAATAACAGGAATCAAAAAAAAAAAATTAATAAAGCCCTAACTTTCTCCAAAGCTACTATAGGCGCACACGCGTAAGATGTGACACTTCGTCTTGACGACTTAGCCATGCTACTCTCAAAAGTACAAAATATTTCATACCGCCCATCTGTCAGTTACGTAAGGAGAGTTTCCTTTGACTAGGGATGACAATTCAAACTGTTAAAAATCGAAAATCGTTTTTAACCGAACCGAATGGGACGAAAAAATAGAACCAATGGTGCAATGAGGTGGTTATGGTTTTGATTTTAATGACCCGATTCGTGGTAGGGTGGCTATGATATTTAACGATGGTGCCCCGCCCCGAACCGATTACCCCTAAAAAGAAAAAAATTGGTTAATTGGGTAATTTTGACAAATGAGATTTGGGCTTCCCCAAAATGTTGGTCCAAATTAACATTACAAAACGCTTCCACCTTTTTTTACCATATTTTGTTCTTTCCCAATTTCCCCAACTCTCGTTTTTCAGCAATTAGATCTGAGATGGCTTGCCATGGGTCATCTGCGTAATCTTTTAATCCATTCTGCGTAATTTCAGAGTAATCTTTTAATCCATTTGGTGATTATCTGCGTGCTTTTCTTCATAATTTTTTTTCAATTTGACGGTTGGAATTTTGATTTATAAAAAAATAATTTATTTTCATGGTTATTAAGTAAATAGAACTGAACCGACTTACGCGGTTATGGTGCGGTTATGGTATGATCAAGAAATTGGTGGTGCGATTATGGTTTTGACCAAACCGACCCCGAACCAAACCGTTGTCATCCCTACCTTTGACTCATTTTTGTGGGAGCACGATAGATACGAGAGTCCGTTCTACAACACTCAATTTTCCTCTGAAGGTGAAAGTTAGATGCTACCACGAAGCAAGTGAAGGATTTCAACACTAGTCCACGGTACCCTAAGGTAGAACTTCAACCATGTAATATGTCAATTGTTGGGTCCTACCTTTGAAAATAAGGGCCAGTTTGACCTCTATTTTTAGTATAAAATGTATTTTAAAATAGTAAATTGATGAAAAATGTGAAGTTAAAAATGAAAGATAAGTTTTTGAATTGCTATAATATTATTTTATTGAAAAGTATGTGTTTGAAAAGAAGAAAAAAGTGTTAAGAAAACAAGAATTTTTCCCTTTGTATAGTCATTAATGGACTATAAAATGTACAGCCCTGACTGATTAGCTTGGGCCCCGCTGATTAATTAATCAGTGGGGCCCACGCTATTCAATCAGGGCTGTAAAATTTACAGTCCATTAAGGACTGTACATGCAACATCTTTCTGAAAACAATGTAAAGCTAATGGACATCTTAGACCGGCCAAGCTAGAAACCTAACAATTTTTGCCAAGTATTTTGATTATCTTTACACATTAAAGAAAAGAATACTTGGGCGATGAATCAAATTTCTTGAATTTAGGTTTTAATATTTAAATAGATTATTGAAATTGATCATTTTTCTTGCATCAAATTCTAGAAAAGTTTGGGGAGCTATACAGTTATCCTTATTTTTCGAATAGAAATATTAACGGAGAAATTTTATAGAATAATATTATTGAACATTACTGATGTTACATCATCAATTTAGATAATAGTGTCATTAAAAATGAAAGGTACAACTATTAAATGTATCATATAAGTTTACCTTTAATTGAACATATCGCATTATATCATATCAAATTAAGGTACGAAATCAGTGTAGGCATAGTTGAAAGATTATTACAGTGACCAATCAAACATAGCAGCATCTTTAAAGTATAAAAGTGCTGTTGAAGCTCCACAGCACATTATTATTACAACATACATGATGAGAACAAGTCTATGAATGAGGGAACTCCCATCTCCTTCCACCATCAAGCGTAATCAACAAGACAGGTCCTCGTATCCTATACACAATTCAATAATAATATAATTGGCAACAAATAATTGAACGGCTCCAATTAAGGGGTATCAGCATGGTCTGGTTACGAAACTATCTGGGCAACTATTTTCTTATAATATATTGATAAAATGGTGCAATTATGTACCAATTAAAATCTGCATGAAATCATAATTGTCATATCATGCTGAGAGACTTACAGTGAGGAAGAATCTTCCAACGCTGATTTTCACCCTTTTTCCATTCCCAAAGAACAATAGTAGTGCCATCATGGACACCACCATGATTTTTATCTCCATTCAAAGCATCTACATTTAGGCGAATATTATTAACCATCCTTATTGTTCTGTAACCATCGCCCAAGTCTTTGCTCTCGGTCCACAAAATTGATTCATCAAGAACATCAGAATCATGAGGAATCAATTGCACCTGTAAAAGAAACCCCCCCACAAATGACAGTGAGAAACACGTTCTTCTTGAGGAGAGACCAAACTATGGTGGTGAGTTTTCATTATATCTTTTTACCTAGTGACTTTTAAAGGGGACGCAGGGGATTGGACATTTTAAGGGGGAGGGGAATGATATGTGGCAAAATAAAGGCTGGCCCCCACAATCGAAATCAGCAGACTAGATTACTACAACTAGGAACTATGATGCTCGGATATCGGGTACGTATCTAAGTATCGGATCTTTTATTTTCTAAAATGTAGGATACGGGAACGAACTAAAAGGAATCCAAATCTCGAACACGAGTATATGGGAACGTCTTTCGAGCTTTAAATTTTTACTAATCCAAAATGTCATTTTGAATAGACCAAAATCAATTATTCACAAAGAAGAAAATACGTATTGAATAAGGGGTTAAAACGAGAAAAATAAAATTTTGAGGTTTGATTTTCAATTATAGGAATTACTAAGCCTCCGTTTGGAGCATATTTTCAACCCAAAAGAATGAAAAAATGGACCGTTAGTGTACCTTTTTGAACTGTTTTTTTTACCTCTCTCACAAGATGCGCAAACAGTTATATTTTTTTCTATTTAGGAGATGAAGAATGAGCTCCAAACAGGGGCTATGGGTCCGTTTGATTGTTAGGGTAAAAAATAGGTGGAAAGAAAACAAATTTTAGGAAAAGTAATTACCTAGAACTTGTTTTGCAAGTAATTGTTAATTAAGAGCTTGTTTGGGAGAGATTAAAATCGGATTAAAATTAAAAATATAGCCGTTATTATTGATTTTTATTAAACGGGTGAGACCCAATAACGGCTATATTTTCAATTTTAATTGGATTAAAATCACTTACAAACAAGCTCTAAGTGTGTTTGATTGATATAATTTTTCACCCGGAAAAATTTTGAAATTTTGGATCTTTTTATTCACGTTAGGCTTTTTTTTTTTACATGAAAATTGTCCATTAAAGTGAAACTTTTTTATAGTTAGTTATAAAATTTGTTACCACTGTCAAAAAGTTAAAAAAAAAAAAATAAATAAAATGCTCGAAAACTATTTTTTCACCTTTTTTCATTAAAGCTTAGTATTTGTAAGGCTTCGTTTTACATGAAAATTATCCATTAAAATGAATTTTTTTTTAACAATTGGTTATGAAATTTAGTTCTATTGCAAAAAATATATATATAAAAAATAAAAAATGGGCAAAGAATTCCTTTTCCCACCAAAAAGTTGGGAAAAGGAATTCCTTGTTTTGCTGGAAAAGGGGAGCGTTGGGGGGGGATGGAATTTTTTTTCCATTTTCCACGGAAAAAGCACTCTATCAAACACAGCCTAGATGTTATATAAAATATAAAATGAGGGAATTGATTTTAATTTGGACTTAGTGAAGCACTAAGTAGCTTTATATGGAACCCATTTTCATTTTATACAAACAAAACCCCAAACCACCTATATATAAAGAGAGAGAAGGAAAAAAAATGGAAAGAAAGAAAGAAAAAAGAAAAAGAAGGGAAAACCCACCACTTTTCTCCATCATCTCAGCAGTGACACTAGGTTTATAGAAAGCAAAAAGGGGAGAGAAAAAGGAAAGCACAGGAAAGGAGGGAAAAAAAAAAAAAAGCAAAAACGATGACATGTTCGGTTGAAATTTGAAATATCTGACACATTCCATACTCATACCTATGTCGTGTCGTGTCATGTCCAACAAGGGTATTCCTACTATTTCGAAGAGTTCGAGTATCGGAGACCAAGAATCATATAATTGTTAACCTAATCTAAACAAGTCTAAGATCTATATCATATTCCAACAAATCAAATGAAATCTCGGGAGTTCCAAAATACACTTCTTAAAACTTGCCAAAACATAATTAAAATTGACGATGAAAAGCCAATGCAATCTAAATCTCCACCAAAGATAAATGGTGCAGCTTAAAAGTGTGCCAACTTGTATCAATATGTAAAATCTCTCCTTGTTTCTTATTAACCATTTTCCTCACGCAACATTTATATTCATATTCATACAGCATGGAAGCAGTTAACAAAGCAGAAATTCTGCCTCATGTAGAAAATCATAAAACTATAAGTTCTCAGTGATGTTAGCTTTGCCAAACAAAGAGAGAGACCTAAACAGCTTTTAGCAATGGAATGATGTTCAAGAATTTTGAATTCATGCTATAAGTTTGATTTATCTTTTTCGTATAAACTGCATTCTAGAAGAATCAAGCAACAGAGAAAGTGGCCTAGATGACGTTTTCTCTTCCAGCTTTAAAATTTTCCTTCACAGGATTGCTAGTGAAAACTTGAAAAGCAATGCTAGTAAGTAATTTGATGGAAAGCAAGAAGGATTATTAGATTTCAGTATTTTATATTAGATGTAACGTAGAAGTCATTATTTTTGTATTGCTTCCATTAATTAGAGACTTCGTATTAGATTTCATCACTTTCTTATCTAACTGTTGTGTGCACAGTATATAAAAAGTAACTCTTTGGTTGCTGGAACAACTTTAGATTTCTATCATTAATTCAGCTGAGCTCATAGTTAGTTTCTGATGAAGTGCATAAAGAATTAGAATTTATGATGAAGTGGGATCACAGGCAAAATAATGATTTCATGATAACTTCGAGTTTGTCTATTTTTGACGAATTGATAGTCTAATTTGATTGGAAACGGGTCAATGATCACAACTCATCGCCTTTGACCATGACGTACGCCGAATTTCGGGCAGATTCTGTCGTTTAGGCTCTCGATTACGCGTTTTTGCCGTTTATGATAATTTTTATTTTGGTAATATCTCATTCAATAAAATTCGGATTTGGATTCCATTTGTTGGAGGACGATCCTGAATATTAGGAGTTTCCATTTAAGTTAAAATCTCGAATTTTCCCATTTATGGAAAAATATCGTTTTTTTATTTTTATTATTTATTTTTCGAATTTTGCTAGGGTTTTACTATTTAAAGTATTGTAAGCCCTTCGAGGCAGATGATTGAATTGAATAAGAATTTTCGTGAATTTTATCTCATCTTTGTGAGGTTGTTCATATTTCCTATAATTTTCCGCTATGTCAATTTCTTTGGTCTCAATTTGTACAGGTAATAATTGGTATCACGACATAATAAATATCATCATTTACAACAAAGTAGCCTTGAAATCAGAGCATTAAACACTTACATGATACGACTACTTCCATAGAGCTTAATTAATGAGTGAAAAAATTGATAAATTATTCACTGAATAAGTAATGAAAGGATTAGAATTGTAAAATAAATAAGCAGAAAACAAGTTTAATGGTGTCTCTTGCAAGCTCAATGAGCTTATTAAAAGAAATGATGCTTTGAAGACAAGTGCATCATCAAATAAGTGTGTTAACAATAACTTGCTAGGTTCATTTGAAAGCTTTTTCTCATATTTCCATCATTACTTATTTGTGTTTCCATACAATTAATCATTGTGAAACTGCTGAAGGGGTCTTCAAATACCTTAAGCAATTGAACAACATAAATCGGACCAGTCTCTTTCGTTAGTTTACACAAAAATAGTTTTCTTTAGTTATCTGGTTTTCCATCAACAATTTATTATCTGCGACACTGATTCACATAGCACAATGCATGAATCTAACAATTTATAATTGCTAGTATACTGTGATGCACTTAAGCAAATATTAAAAATGGTGATGCTATACTTGATTTTGAGGCCAATATTAAAAGATTAGAGTGATAAACATCATTAAACAAGGCTCAATGGCATAAGCCTATTGTAATAATTACAAGTCATCCTTGTGAATCTAGAAATTTCCTGTCAAAATCACCAAATTTATGAAAAAAGCTTATGTGGGACACAACATATTCTCTACAATCCTACCATCATTATAATGCCTCTGGTAATCCATTTTATTAGATATGTGGTTTCAACTTGTATTTCATTTATCTTACATCCTAAATATAAGATATTGCAACCTGAAGAAAACTTAAGTGATTTTCACAACTAATGAGATATATTAATCGAGGCTTCATCTATATAGCATGTCAGTAAAATTGAGCCTAAAATGTTAGAATTTCAAATTAAAAAATAGATTTATTTCAATCATCATGAAATCTGAAAACAATTAAGAATATTTTACCAAGATTATTAAATTCCTTGATTGATGGAATCTCTATCAAATATATTGAATGGAGGAATCTTAAACAAATATCTTGATTGGAATCTCTGTCAAATAATTTGTTGACGGAATCTTAATCGATCCGTGTAAAGAATAAGTTATTCTTACTCAGATGTCCCACATTGGCCTTCTCCAAAAACCCCTGTAACAAAGATACACACCATAGAAAAAGCACCCATTTTGGTGCCTGACTACTACCATTCACTTTTTATAAGAGCCTGCAACCGACTGAGTTTCCATCAACTTCAGATGCCATCTCTCTTGGGTGAAAAACCCCAAACAACCATAGCATTATTTCACCCATGAAGTCAAATAAAACGTATGAAACTAATTGTCCATGTTTTGGAAAAAGCACCGGAAGATAGTTATCTTATTGCTAACACTCAGTGATCTAAACGCAACAAGACAACTTTATTGATCTTCAACCACACTTCACAAAAACCTACTCAATACGAATTATTTTTTATTTTGCCAAACTTTCCAAGGACTTCTCGAGATTGAACTAAAGGAGAGGAAAATAAGCTTAAGCTTTGTTTGGATGATTTTATCAAGGAAGAAAGATATATACGGCCTGACGCTATTTGCCAAACAATACACGGAAACTTGAAAACAAACAAAAATTAACGAACTGATCAACAGATAAAAGAGTGAACATACAGGATGTGTGGCTCCAATGGAGTGTTTCATGGCCTGCCCAGTGGCTTTATTAATCAACGCAAAGCTGGGGAAACCCTGTTCGTCCTTGACTCTTGTGCTGTACTTATCATCTTTAACCCAGTGCTGAAATAGCAAGATACACCACAAATCGATCGTTTTGAACATGAATTGAAGAAAAAGACATAAGGGGATTCAATTTTTGTAACCAAAGAACATACCTGAAATGGGTCTGATGGATTGGAAGGGGCAAGGATAACCTTCCCATCCCGGATGGTCAAAGAGTAATTAGTCTCCGCCTTAGAATAAACCCTAACAGAGGGTTTGTTAGCGACTTCCGAGCTGTGGTGACTGTGTTGATGGGTAAACGAAGGAAGGTGGGGATGATGCTGATGGTGATGCGGATTGTTTTCGCTTTGATGAGAGACAATTGGCGGAGGCGGAGGATACTGCGGCCCCCCTATATGAGACCTGTGATAGGGTGGCGGATTTTCACCGTGAAAGGGAGGCGGTGGCGGATTTTCACCGTAAAAGGGAGGCGGCGGAGGATTTTCCCCGTAAAAGGGCGGCGGTGGCGCATCTTCCCCGTAAAAAGGAGGCGGATGTGGTCGCGGCGGTGGCGGTGGCGCATCTCCCCCGTAAAAAGGAGGCGGGTGGGGTCGTGGTGGTGGCGGTGGCGGGTAGTCTTCTTCTCTCCTGTCTGGACCGTGGTGTGAGTGGTGATAGCCGTGTGGGTATTCCATTTCTACTTGCTATCCACAGAGCTTTTGGCATCCAGTCTTATAGAGAGTTGTTATGCCAACTAAGTCACTAACTGCGACTCGTTAAATTATACTTTTAGGTCCTTCATTTTCTTTCTATCAAAAAATTGTCCAGCCAAGAAAAAGCATGGGTGGGGTGTGGGCCTAACTCTTCGATAATACACCACAGAGCTGTCACCCAATCAATGGCTTTTTCTCACTCAACTTTGAAAATTGTACATTTTATGGATATTAGGACAAACACACGCGTGTCTCTCTAATTTGTACAAACTTGTTTTTATTATGGAATTAATTTCAGATTTTATTGGGATTTTAGATATTTTAGAAATAGGACAAACACACGTCTCTAATTTGTACAAACTTGTTTTTATTATGAATTAATTTCAGAAAACCCCCATGTGAATGTTTTCACATGTGATATACTCTCTACCTATTAAAAATCGTCAAAAACTCCCCTATTTAAAACTTTTTGTGCGAAAAATTTCCCGTACCATCAAGATCTAGTAAATTTTTCGTTAAAAATAATAAAAAAAATGTCAAAATTAAAAAGAAATAATTACAATTTCAGTACAAAATTAAGCTTTCATGGAAATTAATATTTATTTTTGGGAAAAAAAATCAAATTAAAAAGAGTTTCTTTAGCAATTATACAGGAGGAGAGGACGAGGGTTCTTAAGGAGAAATTAATCTGCGTGAAGAAGAGCAGGTTTATTACATAAATACATATTAACTCCCTCACTTTTCAAATATTTCAAAAATGTCCTTAAAGTTTACTGAATAAGTAATGGTTCAATGTAGAGTATTATGAGTAATCTAGAAATTTCTCCACTACTTTTCTGTAAATGGGATGGGGTGGGGTGGAAAATAAAGTTTTAAAAATTTAGGATTATAGGTGGCACAAAAATTTGGATTAATTTTTTAAAAAAATAAAAAATTTGAGTACTAAAATTGCAATTATTCTTTTTTAATTTTGACATTTTTTTACTTTTTTTAACGAAAAATCTAACAGTTCTTGACTGTATGGGGTTTCTCGTACAAAATGTTTCAAACATGGAGGTTTTCTGCTATTTTCAATATGTATGGGGTATATTACATGTAGAAATATTTGCGGGGGGTTTTCTGCTATTAATCATTTTTATTAATGTTGTAATTTATATCTCATAACAACGATAACTATGATTTTTTGGATGATTTCTAAGGTGGAAAAATCGTGAAAAATGGATGGAAAAGACACCCGATTGTAAGAATTATGATTTAGGGACTAGATTACAAACGGTGAAAAATATTTTTTTAGATGAAAATGGGACAAGTCAAGATTTTTTAGTAATGAAAATGATCGTCCGATTATAAGGATTACGATTTGGGTACTTTTTATACTTTTGGTATGTCGAGGACTAAATGAAAATAAATTATGAAGTCAATAATTTATTTGATGCAAATGTGTATATTGGAGCGAAAACTGCTACATTGATAATGGGCTCATTTCGAATCTCAAGAAACAAAATTAATTTTGAATAAGCCAAATTCGAGTTATAACTTATTAAAATAAATTACTAGGTAAGTAAAATTAGTTCTCAAATTAGTTCAAATTATTATATCAATATTGAATTCATTTTGAAACTCGTATTAAATTATGTAGTCATTACATGAAACCAGACATTTTCTTTCATGTTTTAAAAAGTCAGGTTTTAACGTTTTTTTTTTATTACTCAGGTTTTTATCATTTTAATTAAACAATTAATCTTTTAATTAAATTACACGCTTATCCTGTTAATTGTGGGTTTCAAAATTGCTAATATCTCAACTTTCATATCTATCGAGGCCCTATTTTCACTCGAGCACCATCTCACGTCCACATTCCTCGCGCACTCTCTCCACCACGTTCAGAAGACTTCTGTGATAAATCTCCACCAAATCTCTGGTGCTTCGATATTGTCTGTGAATACAAATGACGAAAACAAACGATGAAAAGAAGGGCAAGAAGTTGGTGCAAACGCCGGTTCATACGAACAAAAAGAAGACAACATACAGCCCCACCAAAATGCCAACAACAAGGCAAAAATCTCATGGGTCGAGTGGCATTCACTTAGGGAAGAAGGTAATTGCATGGGTCAATTTGGAAATCGTCGGTTCGAACGAACATTTCAATTTCTTCATGATTGTTGAAGTTTTGGAGTTTTTTATGGTGGAAGAGGATTAT